GACCCACAGCGCCCCTAGAGGACAGAGTGGAACTGCCCACAGGGTCTCCAAGGCTGTCAGTCTTCAAGGAGGCAAAGCCCAAACCCAGACCCACTGCTGTGAGTGGATTCCAACTCACAGCGCCCCCTCCAGGACAGAGTGGAACTGCCCACAGGGTCTCCAAGGCTGTCATCTTTATGGATGCCGACCGCCTCATTTTTCTCCTGTGCAGCAGCTGATGGCTCAAACTGCCCACCTTTCAGTTAGCTCCAAGCGCTTAGCCACTGCGCCACCAGGGCCCTTCTAGGCACGAAAGCGAGTGCAAACAGAAGAAAGACGCCAGGAGGCGACTGCAAGGAGTGCGGAGGAGGACAGTGGAGCTGCTGAGACCAGGACGTGTCACCAGAGCCGAGAGCCCACTTCTGGCTCCTGAACTGTGAGAGCGCACGCTGCTGTCCTTAAAGCCACCCCCTTGTGGCAATTCTGGTGCATCAGCACTAGGAGATCCCACCCGGGACCCTGGGAGCCCCATCCAGCCCCCACCGAAGGTGCTCAGCTCACACTGGCGGGGGGTGCCCAGCACCAAGCCCCCAGCACCCGTGCCTGGGGGGGCTGCAGAACTGGGTGGTCCCAGGCCCTTGCTCTCACTCTCGGCATAACCCACCCCTCTGCTCTCCCCACTGGTGCGTAAGTGACCCCCTCTGAGCCGGCTCAGCCAGGGCGTCAGGGGCAGGGAAATTAGTGCTGCAACCCAGGAAGGCACCTCAGCCCCAAGAGAGGGACTCGATCATGGGTCCCCAAAGGTGCAAGGTGCCTGCCTCTGCCGTCACGCGGGACTCTCTGCTCAGCCAGGACCCACAGAGCTTTGAGACCAGGGCACTCGACAAGTGAGGTGCGTGTCGGGGTGAAGCTTCCAGTCACCCCAAGTCCGGGTGGCCCCCTGAGCCCCTTCACGCTCACGACGGTGTGGTCAGGGAAGGGCGCCCCCGGATCCTCTGGGGTCCTTCCCCGCCCCAAACTCAAACGGCGCCACGTGCTGAGCCTGGAAAGCAGCCGGGAGCGCGCACAGCCTGGGCGGTGGGGCCAGGTGGGGTCACGGCCGCCTGTCCTCTCTGCCCAGAGCTACCACCTGCGCCCCAGGGGGAACAGGCGGCGTGGGACAGGGCCGAGCGCCGTGGGAACGACGCCCCCACCTGGACCCATTCCGCGCGGCCCCGGGTGACCGCACGACAGACTCACCGCTGCGACCGCTCCGCATGCCGATGGTGCCGCCGGTGTAGACGGCCAGCAGTCGCCGCTCGGGTTCCGCCGCCCGCGCCATGCCGGCCCCGGGACCGCAGACGGCAGGAGGGTTGTGGAGCTGACGACCCGTGCGCACCCGCAGCAGCCGGGCACGGGGGGCGGGCCCTGCCGGGGCGGGGCGGGGTCTCGGGGCGCGGGGCCTCAGGGACGGGGGCGGAGCCTGCCGGGGCGGGTCCTCTGGGAGGGCCCGGAGGTCCCCCGGAGAGGCCAGAGGGGCGCCTGAGCCCTGGGAGTGGCTGTCGCGGGCTGGGCAGGGCGGCCTGGGTGTCTCTTGTGACTGTGACGAGGGTCCCGCAGTCCCTGCCTCAGACTGTTGGTGCCAAAAGACCTCCAAGAACGGTCGGTGGTGGCCGTCCTCCTCTCTGGGACGCTGTCAACAGACATCGACGCCTACCTACACTGTTGACACGTCCCCGGGCCCTCCCTACGGTGGCACGGGGCAGGAGGGCCGGGGCCCACGGGCCCAACCACGCCCCATGCAAGCCCTCCAGGAAAGCATGGGCCCTCGGTACCTCTCCAAGACAGAGCACACCACTGGGGGATGGGTGTGGATCCCAGAGGGGCTCAAGCAGCAGGCCCAGCCCCCTGCCGTTAGTGCCCGTGACACCAGGCCCCTCCTGGGTGCAGGGAACCCACAGGCTTCGAGGGCAGGGGCACTGCTGGTGAGACACACCCACCCACTGCGGTGGAGTAGCTTCCAACCCACAGCGCCCCTAGGGGACAGAGTGGAACTGCACTACCTGGTTTCTGAGGCTGTAATGTTTGGAAGCTGACCGCCACACCTTTCTCCCTCAGAGCCGACGGTGAGTTGGGATGACCCACCTTCTCGTTAGCGGCCAAATCCCGATCTCTGACTCTGAAACCAGGGCAGCTCCTTGGACAGCTGCCAGCAGTGCAGTCGCCGTCCACAGAGAAGCGGTGGATTCCAGTTGGAATTCCACATGTTCCATCCACACAAAAGCCAGTGGGCCCCCGTGTGCACGAGCAGCGGAGAGTCTGGAACCATACATGTGTGTGTCCCTCAAGCCCTCCTTTGAGAGGGTCCTACACCTGCTTGAGGCCCCCAGCTGAGTTGAATACCCTTCAACAAGCACCCGTTTTCGTGGGTCTGGGAGCAGCTCTGCCCTGTGTTCTGAGTCAGAACCCACTCCTGCAACACTATAGTAATGACTTCACCCTTCCGGGAAAATCCTCCAACAACCACCCAGTTCCCCAGTGCTGGGGGAGCAAAGCAAGCCAAGTGGGAGGTTTAGGGACAGGTTATTCCCTCAAAGTTCAAGAGGCTGCAAGTCTGAAGCCAGGGGGCCTCTGAGGCGACCTTGTCTCTTCCAGGGGCCGTGGTGCCTGGCGAGCCTCACTGCCCTTGTCTTCAGTGTGTGCTCACCCACCTGTGTCTAAGCCGCTGCTTATCACTTGGAGGTGGGGAGGGTCAGGACGCACCCACACTGGCACGCCTCATTAATGTAAAACCAAAGAATGTTCCCAGTGGGCTTACACCCACAGGCACGGGGTGAGGACGCCAGCTCCTATTTAGGGGACACAATTATGCTTACCTGTGTTTCACTGACTATGCAAAAGCATTCAACTGTGTAGAGCATAACAAATTGTGGATAACATTGAGAAGAATGGGAATTCCAG